TAATCTGTTTACTGTATTCCTTTCGTGTGTATTTCGCTCCATTTATACCCTCCCTGCCCATCTGGGAAGGGTCTCCCTGAAGTCAGAACGGACTTGAGCCGGCACAGTGGCCAGCATCCTTTCCTCTCCGGGGAGCTTAGCTTTGAATAGAGAGAAATCAATTAAAAGACATCGTGGGCCTAATATTGGCAAAAGTAACTCGGATTATATGGCAAGCTTAGGTCGGCCCTTGGCCCTGGCCTGCGAAGCTATTGTTCCCGTCATCTCAGGGCTGCTGGCAAGGATGATGGGAGCTGTTGTTCCGGACGTCGGAAGGATGCTGGATTAGGGAGAAGAGTCTTGTCCACGAGGAAGTGGACTTGCTCACAAAAGCATACATTAAAGAAATATAACAGTTTGTCTTTGAGGTACCGCCACATTTTTCTTTTTTTTTTTTAAATAGTATTATTTTTATTTTGTTTTTACCTATAATGAAAGCCCTGTTCATTGCTTTTACGTCCGTTCCGACTTCTGGCAACCCTAGGAATTAATAACCTCTCAAAGGAGCTGCCTTTTAATGGCTGTGGATTCCTTGACTGGGTCAATCCATCTCACCTCAGGTCCACCACTTTTCCTACTGCCTCCAACTTTTCCTAGCATTATTGGGTTCCCCCCCCCCAAGAGAGTTTTGTCCTCCCATTAGATGAACCCCTTACTCGAGACAAACTCAGATTCTGTTTCTCAGCAGCGATGCTACTTATTCCACTTATTTCTGCTATAACTGAGTGGGTGGGTGGCTCGGTGGTTTAGCTCTCTGGCTGCGGAGCCCGATGTTGGGAGTTCGAATCCCCCACTGGGCCTCCTTGACAAGGGCTGGACTGGATGATCTCAAGGGTCCCTACCAGCCCTGCATCTCTAAGGTTATTATTCTTATTAACATTACTGTGGGAGTCATGACGGAGCCTGAGTTGAGGTCTTGTAGAGGTCTTATGGGGCCGTTGCTGGCTGGGTAGCTCAGTGGGGTCGGTGTCTGGCTACAGAAGCCTGTTGGGAGTTCGAATTCCCCACTGTGTGCCTCCCAGGAGAACAGCCAGCCAGGGTAGCCTTGGGCCAGCTGCAGCATCCCAGAAGGGAAAGGGGAAACCATTTCTGAGCGCACTCTACCTGGAAAACCCCAAAAAGGGTCCCCATGTCAGAGAATTAACTTGATAGCACGTGATTGTTATTATGGGCTGTTCAGTGGCTTTCCAGCATACGCCCACCCTAATAGGATTTTGGGCATATATGTGATTTTCATGGGTTGGTTTCACAATCCTCGCTTTTCCAGTGAATTTCCAGGCTGAAACGGGAATTCGAACCCAGGTCTTGTCTTCTGTCCAGCCACAACATCCTACTGGCTCTCAGCAGGGATACAGCAGTCGTTTAAAGAGATTAGGAAGCAGAAATCCTGTTAGTCCTGGAGCTTTCCCGGATGACCTTCGGCCTCCGGGTTTTCAGCCTGAGCTAATCTAACTCAGATGGTTGTGTAAGGATAAGAACTTTTTACGCCAGGCTGAATGAAGGATTCAGGGAAGTGGAATTGAAACAGAACGGATAACAACAACAACAATATCTGGTTTTTGACCTGATATTTATGTTTGGGTTAAAACTTGTAGCTGTTATATAATACCAGCCTGTGTTTTTATTATTTTGAATGACTGCACGCCCTGTTGTTGTTGTTGTTGATGATGATGATGATGATGATGATGATGATAATAATAATAATACTAATAATAATACTAATAATAATACTAATAATACTAATAATGGACTACCCTTCAACAACAATAATATTTATTTATACTGAGCATTCCAATGCAGTTAGTAATGTAAACACATGTGGGACGTTTCACCCTAAGCTTGGGGGTGTTCCATGTCGTCAAGCAGGATACGACTTAATCCCGACCCGAATGGGTAAGCGAATCGAGTTGATTCAGGAGTGGTTTTCCCCGTTCCCTACCCCCAGTGAGTTTCCGTGGCTGAGCAGGGATTCGAACTCAGAACTCCTGAGTCCTAGGCCGTCACTCTATCCACGACCCCACACTGGGAACTCAGTAACGTTATGTATATATGAAATTGAACATTAAAACCTGGACATCAAGGGTGTTTCCCCGAAAATAAGACAGGGTCTTATATTAATTTTTGCTCCAAAAATGCATTGGGGCTTATTTTCAGGGGATGTTTTATTTTATTTTATTTTTTCCATGTACAGCCATCTACCTTCATTCAAACACAGTCCTCTGGCTGCGGCACAAGGGTGGAGGCCAGGGCTTCACTTCATTGGGGCTTATTTTGGGGGTAGGACTTCTATGACGAGCATCCTGAAAAATCATCCTAAGGGCTTATTTTCAGGTTAGGGCTTATTTTCGGGGAAACAGGGTAGCCAGAGCGCCTTCCCGCTCAGGGTTACAACCTGGCCTTGAAAGAAACTGGAGATGGGAGATTCAGAGATAAGTTTCACCCTGCTGGAGAGCCAGCCTCTTCTTCTAAATGGATGTAATTCTGCCTGGGGCTAATTCTGCGGTGAGATGGGGGGGCGGGGAGGAAGAGAAAGCAAAGAAAAAAGGAGTGTTTATTTAAGTTTGTTTGTCTGAAAATTCTGAGTCACTGAATCTTGCTGCCTTCCCTCCCCTTCATTGAAAAAAAGAAGTACTTTTTTTGTTTGTTTTAAAGAAATCTCACATTTCATATTGCAAAAGGTATACAGCTCTCTGAACGGTCCAGTCCGCAGCCGCCTGGCTCAGCTCTTGCAAACTCAAAAGTCGTGGTTTCTTTCAGGGACTCCGTCCATCTCATATTCGGTCTTCCTCTTCTCCTGCTGCCTTCTGTGTTTCCCAGTGATTGTTGTTGTCGTTTCAATTTGCATGCTGCTCCATCCTACCCGCAGTCATTCCCAGCGGTTCCCAACACAATAAAAAGGAAAAATCCTCTTGCAAAATGTTCCGAATTAAACGTCCTTCAATGAAATAAACCAAATTCTACAAGTATATACAACCACAAACATTTACAAACACTGTGAAAACAGGACCAAATGGGTGGCGGATACAATCCCAGGATCTCCAGCCGGCGTCTGCTGGACAGGGCGGGTGGAAAACAGCACTCAGGGAAGCCGCCTCAGTGTTCCTCCCTTTCCAGTAAAACCAGTTAGGTGGCGGCTGCGAAGGAGCTGAGCATGTTTGTCCCTCGGCTGCCCCAACGGTGGAAAAAGTCATCCCGGGGGCCAGTCCAGAGGTTTCCTAGGCCTTGCACTCTCCAAGCGAAGGCCCTGCTTCAGGCGAGCCGAAATTCCGGCCTTAAGGCCCCCCCCCAAAGAGCCCTCAAACTGTCCTTATTCTTCCCAGAAAGCAGTTTTGTTCCTGCTCAAAGAATGGCATTTTCCCATCTTGCTCTGTGACAACCTTCCTTCTGTCCATCATCAGCTCCTTCCTTCCTTCCATCCTTCCTTCCTTCCAGATTACTTCCAGCCTTGCTTCTGGTTGGTAATGCACTGAAAATAAAGCTGCTACCGTGCAGTCACTCCGACCCCCATCTGCCCCAGCTGATGGGGCGGCATGATGGGAGTTGGGAGTCCAAGACCCCTGGGGAGCAGGGGAGCACAGCCCCCCTCCCCAACGCCTGGCCCCTATAGGTCTGAAAATCCCCAGAAAGTGAACCAGCACTGTTGCCAAGCTAGCCTGGGTTTGAGCCATCCTGGGGAAAGCCAAAATGTGCGATGGTCAGACTCCCTAAAAGAATCCACAACTTTTGGGTTCAAAGGACTGTCAAGGACAGGAAATGTCAGCGCTCACTGACTCAGAGGGTGGCCGTCAGTCCGAGGAGAGTGTGCATCGAAGCAATTAGCAGCCAGATCATTAACGAACCATTGTCTTTTGGTTTGTAGACTCTGCCTTCCCGCCAGGCCATGGAGGACCTGTATCAATAGAGAGGTCATATATTTGCACGCTCGTGTCTGGGGAACTGGACTTTGATCCACGGGGGAGCGTGAAATCCTTCTGGGGGTCACGAAGGGCGGGTCTTTTGGAGGAGAAATGCAGGGCAAAAATAGTTGAAAGAAAGAAATGCAAATATTTTAGCTTTCTTTTCTTCTCCGTTGGTATTTTTGTTCTCCCTTCTTTAACGTTGGTGCTTTTTTGCTGCGTGTGTGTGTGGTTTGTGTGTGTGTGGTTGGTTGGTTCTTGTTTTTTTGGCACCGTGTCAGTGAGATTTAAGCTCTTTTTTCCCCTTGATCCGGATCCGACCCCGAAGAGAGCCCTTTGCCAGTTGAGCTCCTGCCGGGAGGCTCTTCCGGGGTCCCCTCCCTCACGGCGGCCTTGTTTGTTTGCTCGGCCGGCGTAGCCAGGCCCCCACCTAGAAGAGGTGTGGTGTGTTCACCTGGCTGAGGCGGTGGAGCGAAGGGTGAGGCCCAGCGGGCTGCCAAAAGGGAGCTGTAAGCGCCTGAAGCAGAACCAGAACCCCGTGTCCTCGTTCCAGGCCCCTCGGCTCGGCTCGGTGGGAGCTGCTGGCCGCCGTGGGGGTCTTCCCACCCACCCCTCCGGCCCATCTGGGTGGCTGGCCTGCGGAGGGCGGGAAGCACAAGAGTTTCCCCTCCCCCCCTTTTGCACGAGGAAGCATTTGCACGGTTGCACGACGATGGTGTCCCAGCCAGGGCTCCGCTGATCAACATGGCTGTCAGATTCCAGGCGAGTCGGAGTGTGTGCGTGTGTGTGTGCGTTTGGGGGGGGTGTCTTTATCCCGATTTTATGCTTACATTCCATTTGTCTTTTTTTTTTCAACTTTCTTTTAACTCAAGCTTTGGTTGAATTCAAAGCCACACTGCCTGGCTCTGCCCACCTTTGCAAAACATCTGAGCCGGCACTCTAGACATGCTTAGGGGAATCCTTGTTTTCCCAGTTCTTGCTGTTATTTGCCATCCGGTGGCTTCCAACTGCTGGTAGGGGTCTCTATCCGAGGTCCAAGGAGTGGGTCCCTTGTGGCTGATGCCTCTCCACAAGTTTCTGCCACCCTGCCAGGACTTGAATCCACTTCTCTTGAGACCCAGTCTCTTTCTCTCCTCTACCCCACCCAGACTCTCCTCTTCCCTGAGACTAATTTTTCCCAGCTTCTCCTGGTGTCCAGAAGCTGGAGCCATAAGAGGCAACGGTGCCTCTGTGCGCATACAGAGTGCATTTTTAAAAAAACATAGTGCAGAGTAAACACAGTCAACCTGCTGGGGATTTTCTTGTGCATGAAGATTGTGATTGTCGTTCTGTGTGTTTTCCTCTTGCTTTGTTCCTGCTCCCAAGCAGCCGGAAGTTCACCTGTCGGGTGGCGGTTCAACAGGGCTCCGGGTGTGAAAATCGGGATGCTGCCCCCCCCCCGCCTAAGTTTTGGGATCAAGATGCAGGCAAGCCCTGAGGTGTGCCCGTGCACAGGGCGGGATCCGGAAGATAACAAAGCAAAGGACATTCCTGGCGGCCATAATGATCGGCCAGGAATGTGGGCGGGTCGCTTTGGCCAGATCGGCTCTCCTTGGGCTTTCTGGGAGGAGCCGTTTGGCCCTGGCAAAGGTCAAAACCTCCGTGGGGAGCTAGTCCTCATGATTCTTCTTGCTTACACCTTGCCCCCCCAGCCCCCAAAAGGCCACCCGCTGCCTTGATAGCTCTTTATTTGAAATAATTTCGTTCCTCATTAGAAGCTTCGCGGGTTTCAAACCCCATTCTTCGTGTTTCCCGTAGCTGACCAAATTCGTTTGCCAGCCGGGGAGCTGGTATCCGAAATCCATCCGAATTGGTCGTCGTTAACGCTGGCCAGGCAATATAGGAAGTTAGGCGCTCCTAAACCTTAATACTTATTTTTTTTTCAGATGGATCCCATCTCTTTTAATGAATTCTCGGTTTCTTCTCTCTGTGACCACCATTTGTGCGTCTGTTTTGCCACTCCTTTCACTTTTTTCCCCCTAACTGGAAGCATCGTTGAACTCGGGTTGGGTCTCCAAACTCATGGCACTGAACATGCTGTGGGGGGGGGGAGGCAACAGGTAGACTCTTCTTGGCTGGTGCTGCTCTCTTTGGGCTCCCTGGAGGCTCCACTTAATAAATTTGCTTCTCGGGGTTTTGAGGATTTAGGAATTCCCACTTTTAGCCTGCAAGCCTCTGGCTGCAGGGATGAGTCCAAATTTGGAAGGTTTGTAAGTTTCCAAGTTTATCTGCTTCTCTGCTGGGAAAAAGGTGAAAAGAGGAGTAAATTCTCCCCCCTCAAAAAAAAAAGTGATTATTTTTTCTCTGTTTTTCACGTGGCCTATTCCATGTTCCCCACATACTTCGATTCCCCCTTTCTTAAGCCCCTTCGGCCTCATTTTTTTTTTAATAATGCTGGATTTCTCCAGCAAGCTTTTCTGGAATGTTTTTTGTGCAGCGGGCCAGAAAAATGGTTGATTCTTTCCCGTGTGTGTTTTTTTTTTTGGGGGGGGGAAGGAAAGGTATTTATTTGCTAAAAATAACATGATTTCCATTTGCAAAAGACCCAAATTTCTTGAGAAGGTTTTCTAGGCCTGGCTGAAACCCGGACTAGGAAGAGCTGTTTGGCTGTCCGAAATCTGTTAACTTCTTTCATTCTGAGATGTCTCTCCTGTGCTTTTTGGGTGCCCTAAAAAAAACATGTTCTCAAAAACTTAACTGAAAAAGACGCTACTCATTACAACGACCAGGATCCCTAAATCTACCTGACGACATACTCTGGGCCAAAATTTGTTGTCATCTTTTAGGTGCTGATAACTCACCTCTGATTGAACCCTATAAATGAGCTTTTCCTCACCTTGAGGGTCTCATGCTCCAGCACTATCTCTTGCTTCATATTTTTGCTCCGTCCCAGCCATTGCATGGCCTCTGACTCGTGGCAAATCCTGTGAAGGAGTGCTTTCCGAAAGGTCCCGTCCTCAGTGGCCCTCTTCAGCTCTTGCAAACTCAAAAGTCGTGGTTTCCTTGAGGGTATCCGTCCATCTCGTCTTGGGGTCTTCCTCTTCTCCTGCTTCCGCTTTTCCCAGCATGACAGTCTTTCTCTAGAGAGAATCCTGCCTTCTTGTGAGGTGCCCAGAGGAGGACAACCTTTTGATGCCGGAGGAGAGCTTTCCAGATACCACAGACCGCCAGAGAGACCAGTCATTCTAGATCAAAGACCAATTTGTACTCCTTCTGGAAGTAAAAAAAAAAAAACCCACTTAACCAGAGGCTGCCTGTTAACATTTCAGTATGTGTGAATTGTGGGATTTGTAATCCAAAAAATCTAAACATCCCATCTCTAATACGAGGTATCTTCCAAACCTATCTCTGTACCCAGATCCAAATTGTTTTATAACAGGTTGTTGTTGTTGTTGTTGTTGTTGTTGTTGTTGTTATTATTATTATTATTCTTATTATTATTATTCTCCTAGGTTGCAGACATGGAGGAAATGGTGATTTGGGAGCAGTACACAGTGACGCTAAACCGAGTGAGTGTTCCTTCTTTTTCTCCTCGTCCGCGCTGATGTTCAATTTTTGGTTAAGTTTGTCTAGTTGCCTAATAGAAGTGCAGGGATTCACCGAGCCGAATAGCTTCAAGTCCCCCCCTTCAGGCAAGTAGTCCACCCCTTTTTCTCAGTAAGTGGCATTTACAGGCTAGCCACCAGAGTTAGTCAGAGGCGGTAGTGTTTGTTAGAGAAATTCCCACCAGGTCATGACCAGAACAGGCCACTAGAAGGAGCCAGAGACTAGGCTGCCTAGCACTCACTATTAAAATAGAGTTTGCTATCATCCACGTGTTTCAGCATCCATGGGGGCTTGGGGCCAATCGCCTGCAGACAGAGGGGGTCCAACTGCATTTCTTCCATGTTTTTTTTATTTTCTGAAAATCAATATTTTTTGGTATTCAAATTCAAATCAGAAAAAAACCCAGAGGAGCACTAACATTCCCCGGTTTCCCCTTTCCACGCAGGATCCCCGGAAAGGCTTCGGCATTGCCATCTCAGGGGGCCGGGATCGTCCCGGCGGTGTTGACCGGGATGTCTCGATCGTGGTCTCTGACGTGGTGCCGGGGGGACCGGCCGAAGGACGCCTCCAGTGAGTGTGGCTCGAAGGGCAAACCTTTGCACGTCTGGGGAACACCTGTTCCGGGGTGCTGAAGAGTTCTGTGGGATTCCCCCAAGGCAATTCTCACGCATTCTGTGATGTCACTGCAGTTCGGCCAATGACGGCCTGTGTGGGGCGGGCCTTCGATTCGACTTTCTCCACGGAGGGTTGGTTGGTTTGAGTGCGTATTGGATGCAAAGCACCACCGAATCCTGCCTGCTTTTGGGGGGAGCCACTCCTGAGCTGGCATTCTGCATTTCTAGGACTCTGTGAATACTTCAAATTAGCGTCTTCTATTATTACAGGTTCAAGACAGTTGGTCTATTTATTGATTGAATTATTTCTTGGATTTTATACCGCTCCCCTTTGGGCACAGCACCATGGCTAAAATAAGCCAGCGCCGCTCAGGACGGCGTGAAACGGCAGCTTTCCAGGACCAGAAAACACTTTTTACTGTAGTATTTTAATTTCCTCCAGGAGCGTGTGTTTTGTAAAGCCAACAGCTCTTAATGGCCCATTTAGGAGCCCCCCAAATTTTCCTTTCCAACAAAAAACTCTGGCCGCTGCCAAACAGTGGTTTGGCCGAGCTCGGTGCAAAGCTGGATACCTCGGAAGAGGTGGCAGGATAAAAAGTTAATTTTGGCCCTGAGAACATGCTGGACTCCACGTCCTGTCCCAACATTACTGACATGACATGATATGACTTTTATACCTCCCCCCCCCCTTCCTTTCGTAGGACCCGGGACAAGATTGCCATGGTGAACGGCCTCTCCATGGATAACGTCTCTTCCTCTTTCGCCATCCAGACCTTGAAAACGTGCGGCAAAGTCGCCAATATTGTAAGCAGATCAACCTTGGAATATTTAGGTCTCGTTTGATACCGTTCAGATTCCACTGAAATGGCTTTACAGTATTTAAAAACAGTAAAACCATACACACAACAGCAACATCAACACCACTTCGGTTTGATGGAAGGTTTCTCCCAGACAGATTAGGTAGCACAGAATTGGAATGGGGTCCCTCAAGGGTCATCTAGTCCAACCCCCCCTTGCCAGTGCAGGAAATTCGTAGCTAAAACAGCCCTGTTGAGCTTTTTTGAAGGAACCCACTTGATCGGAAAAATAAGGGGGGAGAATATATTTAATAACGCAAATATTTTATTTCACAGACAGTGAAGAGACCTCGGAAGGTGCACCTCCCGGTTTCCAAACCCAGCCAGCTCAAAAGCTTGCCTCTGTCTGGTTCTGCGTCTCGCTCGCCAGAGGACGGAAACAAGGACTCCGAGGAGGAATATGGGTATCGGAGTCGGGAGTCGATTCCTCCGGGCAGGCATGCGGGGCACTCTGGCCAGCACAGAGCGGAAGCTGACCACAACCGGGGCTACGACGGCGACTCCTCCAGCGAGCGGAGTTCGGGGCGCTACCGCGAG